AGCAGCAGCAAAAACAACAACGACAATAACAACAACAACAACAACAACAACAACAACAACAACAACAACCAACAACCAACAACAACAACAACAACAACAACAACAACAACAACAACCACAACCACAACGACAACGACAGCGACAGCGACAGCGACAGCGACAGCGACAGCGACAGCGACAGCGACAGCGACAGCGACAGCGACAACGACAACGACAACGACAACGACACGGACAGCGACAGCGACAACGACAACGACAACGACAACAACAACAACAACAACCACAACCACAACCACAACCACAACCACAACCGCAACCACAACCGCAACCACCCACAGCTGCCGCAACCGCCACGACAACCTCGACAACCACGACTACAACAACCACCACTACAACATTCAACATCCGACAGTAACAGGGAAAGCCAAAGCAGCAATAACAAAAGCCACACCAACAACACGGAGCACGCGACAACGAGAAGCAATCGCATGACCGCTTTGTCTTCCTGTTTCCCGCCGTAGTTTTCGGTCGGTGCTCTATTCTGCACCGAACTAGGTTATTTCCTGGCGCAACCTCCAGCGACCCTGAAAGAGATTCTGTGTGGGCCATGGGGAGAGTTCGATGCCAAGCGACTCCTTGAAACGGAAGTTTGCCTTGTACTCTTGTTTGTGTGCTGGACGCGTGTGAGGAGGCTGCATGATTCACCGAAGGTCGATGATGTTCCCGCATGCCTCCACATACAGCCTGATAGATAGATTCTGACAGATCTACTCGGCTTACCATGCACCTGGTGGGTGCGTGTGGTGTTCTTTCTTCGGTGGGGGCTTCTGGTCACTTAGGACTCGTCGGCGTGAACTCCTTATTCCACTAGTTCTTTCCAGCACCAAAGCCTTCCCTTGATATCTAAAATCAGGTAGATCTAAAAAATGTCAAGCCCAGAGTTTGCACTGGAGAACCCTGCCAAAACGCAGCAATTCAAGAGATCCACGCCCGTAGCAGAGTGTATCAGGCAGCTTGCAGTGGCGGAGACATGCGAATTTGCGAAGCCGGAGCTCTTGAGCGGTGCCTTGTTCATTGAGGCGTGGAGCTTCAGGAATTGTCAGTCTTAGCAGCGCCCGCGCATGCGTGCTCAACCTCTGAGACACGTGTGCGTGCCTGCTGGAGTGCCCATGCACCATCAGAGCCAATGGCCAGGAGTTTCATTGCCTGCGAGACGGGCTCGCGCACAGCTCGCTGCATGAACAAGCTTTGGCACTGGATCTTCTCATCGGGGCTATGATCGCCAATGGTTTCGTGGCTGACACATCTGTTGTTGGAGAGGGAGAAGTTCATGGAAGGATGGAATGCAGGGGATTGCGAAACAGAATTCTGCTTGTGACGAGGTGAGGCAGAAGGCGCATGGGCTTGGGTCGTCCGACTTGACAACTCTACTTCCTAGTTGCTGCCATGTGACATGGTAAACGTCTTCAGCAGGGCAGTGCGATATCCGAATCGTCCAAGGATTGTGTGGCTCCGCCAGCCAAAGGGCCTCGCATCTTTGGCAAGAAAGCCGATCCCGATTTCCCCCACAGAGCGGCAAGATGTCACCTTATCGTGCTTCAACTGAACAGAAGTCAGTTCGACTGTTGGGACGGCTGTTGGGACGGGTTTGTATGGTACTGAACGGGCGTTGCAGCAGCTGATCACGTGGAGCCTGAGAAATTGGTCGTGAGGCTTTTATGCCAGCCTCTCCAACGAAGTACTGGAGTCCCATGCTGATGTGTGCCACAACCTTTTGCGCAGCAGTGCCTTGAGATGCGCTGAGCCTTGCCTGCCATACAAACCAAGACATGTATTGCCAGTGTTAAGTGCAACTCGATTAACTCCTCGCCGTTGTGAGGAGCCAGTTGTCGCTTTTTGCAAGTCGCAACGACGGTGGCCTCCGCCAGCAAACGTTGGGCTAAAGACTGCGGAGGGTGCAGCTTGGGACACATTTCAGGAGTTTCCGCACACAAATATGGAAGAATGGGCCGAGCGTCCGTGGGCTTGGAGTATGTGTAGCTATATTGGATTATATGTGGCACTAATTACACGTGAGCAGCAATCCTAAACACATTGGTACTCCGAGAGACTGGCGAAAGGTATCACCTTTGTAAAGATTATGGACCGGAGAAACAGGAACAGCAAGGACACCAGAAAGGTGCAAACGCCATGCCACGGCTAGGATTCCGCAGTCGCAGCGCAACGGCAGTACCTATCACGCTGGACGGTTACACTATAATTCGTTGCTTCTCTTGTCTTATCTTCTCAACGCAGCCATGTGCTTGTCAACTTTTCCTTTTTGTCGGTCCACATGTCGATGTCAATGTCTCACTCACTGTGTCTTGTTGTGTCAATGATGTCCGAGGCCTCTCATGCAAAGATCGGTTTCGACACGAACGATGCCATCTTATGTAACCATTTGCAAAGTACCGCTGACACGAAACTGCGGGGAAGCGTCTGCAGCGGACAGACCTCTGAATCGGCTGACAAGTTCCTTCAAGAGCTTGTCCGCTCGTGTGTTGACGCCTCATGCCGGGCATCTATGACAAGGAGTCGTCTCTTCGGACGGCTCCTCGAGACTTGCAGTCCGGAAGCAGCCGGCCCTCTCAGAGAGTATTTGAGCGTGCATCCGCTCTCCAGAAGATGTTGCTCCCTGAAACAGTCCGGGAAATCAGCGGCAACTCATTTCGAGGTGTTTTGCGCAGAGCTTTTCGACAACCTTGATCCGCACACTCGTGCGCAGACCGTGGTAGCATCGCTCGGCAGCAGCTCTGGAGACTACAGGAGCCTGTCTACGAACTCGAAATCTGGTGAGTTTTTCTTCCTTTCCCAAGACAAGAAGTACTTGGTCAAGACTATTTCAGAAGATGAAGGCCTTCTCCTTTTCCGGATGCTGCCAGGATACCAGGATCACATCCATTCCACCCCAACCTCACTGATCGTTCGCTTTGCCGGCCTATACTGTGTGACAGTCGCAGGTGGCGGGCTACGTTATTTCATCATTATGAAGTCTGTCTTTGATCCAGCCGTAGAGATTCACTCCCACTACGACCTAAAAGGCTCTCTGCACCACCGGAGGAAGAAGAAAGACGAATCCACAGGCAAAGACGAGGACTGGATTCAAGACAAGATGCAGCTCAGCCCATCAGAACACAAAAGGCGGGAGATGTTAGAGGCTCATGAAGCTGATGTCCAGTTCCTTCAGGAACATGGCGTCATGGATTATTCCGTCTTGGTCGGGATCCACAATGTTGAACAGGGGCAGGGTGGTCGTTTAGCGAGTTCGCCAACGAGCGCAGGGACGCCTTCTGTTTGTGGGACCAAAATCTATTTCCTTGGGCTCATCGATTTTCTGATCAACTTTGGGCTGCGCAAGCAAGCCGAACATCTACTGCGGGCCGCCCAGGGGCATGGGCAGTCAACGTCCTGTGTCCATCCCTCAGATTATGCTGCGCGGCAGGCGAGATTTCTGCGGAGTAGTGTTTTCGCAAAGCCGGACGTGGACAAGGGAACAGCCGGCTGCTTGAGGGTCCTGGTCGTAGCGGCCCGGAAGCTTCGAAATGCCGATCTCATGAGCAAGTCGGACCCATATGTCTCGGTCCATCTGGGTCTACAGAAAGCTGACACACCAACCATACAAGATGATCTGAACCCAACCTGGAATTGCTCCTTGACGTTGCCAGTGCCGCTTGATCCGGATCCCAGAGGTTTTAGCACCGCTTTTATTCAGCAGGAGCCTTAGCGATCTCGCTCTAACCCGTCTGAGCATCTGAGGAACACCAGCCATCTGTCGCATGAGATTCTTTTCAAGGTGCTCGTCTCAACTCCTTGGGCTGGCAACACCTAAGTTACTTGAATACATCCCTGCATTCGGACAGGCTTGCTCCCTTGCTTGTGGGCTGTATTTAATGGGTCTTTGTGGGGGCAGCAACCGTGGAAGGCGCCGCAGCATCAGCAACAGCAGCATCAAGGGAAGCAACAACGCCGCCGCCGCCACCACGCGCCACCACCCGCCACCACCACCACCACCACCACCACCACCACCACCACCACCACCAAAAACAACAACAGTTCAAGAGCGGCAGTGTAAACGAAGCGAGCAATGTAGACACACCGTCACCGGCATCAAGATCATCAGCATACCCGTGACCGTTGCATTAGTTGAAGAGGGCTGTTCGGCTCCAAGACGGCTTGAATCTGTGTGCCAGCTCCTAGTTCCTCAGATACGCACGCCCTTAACACCCAACATGCAGGAACTCCAAGGAAGTGCAATGCAAGTAACAAGGCAGGCGCACAGCAGTCAAAAACCATCTTCGATGTTGAAGGGTCGAGTCGGTTCGAGTCGTCGCAGAAAAGCACATGATATTATTGCATGCACGCACCTACCACTTGTTAATCATGCCTGCCGTTGGTCGCACCATGCCTTCCAACATGCCAGGTCTGGGATGAGGATCACATACGTGCGGCGCAGGGCAGCGACGACAGTTTGGGTTTGCTCCGGTGCCCCTTCCATCGCTTGTTGAGGGAAGGCGGCGAAGTTGATGTGAAGCAGAAGCTGGAGGACAGCATGTTGGTGTTGAATGTGCGAGTTCATGGTATCGGACTCGCCCAGCGCAAGGAGACCACAAGTGGCGAGCTGCACGTGCAGATCCGCTTCGAGCCACACCGATCGAGCAGCGGCTACCCATGGAGCAGCCCATCGGGCACCGTTGTGTGGGAGTTCGCAGCACCAACCTGAGATTGCACTTCTTTCAACATGCAGCGTCACATGCTTGTTCCCGACCATGGTAAACAGATTATCTGAGGTGAGCCATGGTTTCCAGAGCTTTGATGAGCCGTGTCAGCGAACCGTGGAGACCATGTACCAAGGATTTCTACGAGGACACACAGTGTGCGAGCGCAAAAGGCTAGAGGCCTCCTTAAAAGTGTCTCGAGTTTTCAAAATTGGATTTGATTGTTCACAGGAGGGGCCAGGAATGTCTCTGTCACATCCGGCGGAGTTGAAGTCTTCCTCGATTTCGCAGAGATGAAACAAGTTTCTCGAGGGGGCCGCACGAGGCAAATTCGACGGCGGGCTGGCTGACTTTCGCGACGAACGTCACGAGATTGTACATAGTAGCACATGGTGCGAGCCGAAGCATCGCTTGATGCACTAGGACCCTTTGCAAAAGCAAAGGTACCCCCAGTGGCAAAGTCAAACATGATGCCTGGAAAGTGCAGGGTCGTCTTGGAATTTTGCTGTCACGCCCAGAGATGCCACGGTCACTGATCATTTGTTACGTAGGTGGCTCAGCCTCATCAGAAGTTCACTAGCGGATTTCTGCGATGAGTTTAGTCCAGTCAATGAGCCATTGGACACAAGAACCTGTGCACCCACAGTGGCCAGCCGCGACATTTGCAGTAATGTGATGTTGGAGCGATGGTTGCTTCAAAGTTGTCTCGGCATCCTCACCGTGGCCAGACTGGATGTTTGCTCAGTCCCAGCCGATGCGAGCGCCAGTGCCTCAGAGACTGAGGTTTTATTAGGAGGCGATCTGTCAAGCAGCGTCAAAACTTCGATGCGGCCGGCACATGACGAACATATCTCGAAGCCAGTCTTGCCCACACGGACAAGCCAGCGCCCAGGAACCTCTAAAGATGGTTAATAGAAAAACATTGCAGAAAGTAGAAGTCGTGGGTGCCGGGTGCAAAGTCTAAATTGATCCTTGCGATGCTTCGGCCAAAAGAGAACCACACAGAACCCACTAAATGGTGAGCTGCTGTCGAATTGTCGTATTTGTGCCTGTGCAGTAGGAGGCATCCGCCAGTGCCTCAAAAAGACAGAGACTGTGCGCAACTACCAGTTACCAGTACCTCCGTCTTCTCATCACTTCACCTTTCATGGTGTTCTTGTTGCTGGAAGTGCCCCATTGGATTCGTTTTCAATTAGCACTCGAGCAATGACCCTTGGCAGTGCATGCATGCATGCATGCATGCATGCATGCATGCATGCCATTTAGAAGTTTCGATGTCCTGTCTCGCAGAGCCCAAGCTTCATTATCTCGGCATTTTGTGGCTTGCGGGCAGAATGTATGAGTGGAGTCACTTCTTCTGAATCCCCGTCCTGATCGCTGGCCTGGTAGGTCCTCACGAGTAAAGAGGTGGACCAACTGGACCTTCTGTCTTGGCAATCCCCGCGATTGCTACCGGCAACCCCTGCCCGCAAGAAGCTGGCAAGTAAGCTCTTGCCTGCAACGAAGGCACGTCGGCCAAAACTTAAGGTAAGTTTGTATCTCGGGTGGGTTGTCAAAACCTTCATTCTTGCGCGGGCTCAGGCGATGTTGCAGACAACCGAGACTGAGTTGCGGAAGCACCTGGCGGGGGTGGAGCGAACAGACGGAAGGAAATTCTCTGGGACGGCTGTGCAGGGCTGGAACAGCTCTCACCCGGGGACCGAGAGCTTCAGAGCCGGCTACACACAGATCCTCTCGGGTCTCGAGCTGTTTCTACCTGCCGCAGCTGAAGTAGCAGCCATCATTGCCAACCAAACTGGGCTATCTTCTGTGTCCGTCAGCTCATACGCCCATCCCACTCAGGGAGAGCCAATATGCGTGCATGCAGATGCTCATGACACTTTCGTCTTGCAGATCCAGGGATGCCGCGTTTGGAAACACTGGCACGGGCCATCCCTCAAGGAGAGCCATTTGGTGAATCATCCAGGAGAGCTGGGGCTTGGAAACTCCAGCTCCCGCTGCCTCAAGGACAGCTTGGGCTTTGCTTCCAGAAGCCTGGAGCTCCACACGGGATCCTTGCTGCGCTTGCCCCGGGGCATCGCCCACCAAACCAGCAGTTGTGGTCAGGGCCCTTCCAGCCACTGGGCTATCATGGCTGCTCGCATCAGCGCAGCTAGCGTGTTAATGGATGTGGCGGCTTCTAGCCAAAAGCTTGACGTCCACGGCCAGCTACTATCAGTGCTAGGAAAGGACACTGACCTCAGTAAGAGGCTATGGCAGGGTCTGCAGCTCACAAGCTATGACGGAATAGACTTGATGAAGCACGTGGAGATCCTGGCAGATGGGCTTCTCGCCCTTCTGGACGAAGCCATACCAGGCCCTTGGCCCGCGCTGGACCGACGGTCTGTGTCTACCCGCTTGAAGGAAGTCTTGCAGATTCCTGCCTGCAGGAAGGCTCTGCGGTTGATTTAGGAGCTTGGGCTGTTTTGTTACGATCTGTTTCACCGCAAGCGTCCACCCCTGCGCCTGCCAGCTGAGGCACGGTCCTCCAGGCAGTGCGCTGGCTCCGCCGGGTGATTGCCGGACGGGTCCTCTCGGCCGCTTTCTTGTCAAGACTAGACGGATTGAGCTCTGAAAGCCGGAAGCACGGCAGCTCTTCGAGCTCTCCGCTTTCCTCCCCGTATCTCGCAACTGAACGCCCCGGTGTAACCAGTCCAGGATGAACCGGGACTCCTGTGCTTGCACGCAACACGCCAAGGTCTGCAAGGACTCGTTGCTGTGAGCAGAGCATCAAAAACATTTTGTTACTGTTACTTCTATGCTGTACGTCGCATTGCTCACTAAAGCTGCCACAAGTAGGCTCTTAGAGTCATAGCATCGGCTCGAGCGGGGGTCTGAGTTGCCGGGGCCGCGTTATTGAAGAATGTCGGCCTGTCGCCAATCGAGACCTTGCAGTGCGGCAGTTTGGTAAAGGGCGGCATGCCCGCACGGCCTTCAGCCAGAGCACATGAGCAGCTCTGGGTCCCCCAAAACTGCCGCCGCCTGATCAGACCACACTCCGCTCCCTTGCTCACCAGCAAAACTGTCAAATATGAGCCGCTTGATGGTCTTGCCACCAAGACGTTGCAGAAGACCACCCAGAAGCTCAACCTCGAAGTGCAAAGATCTTCGAGCACTTCCGCCCTAGGCTCAGAAGCCCTGGACAAGACTAAGTTCCCCAGCAGAGGTGGCCATCTACGCGTTTCTATGCAACCTGCGGCCACGGCAGGCAGGACGATGCATCCCGCTATGCTCGGCAAGACACGAGTGGAGTCAGCTAAGTCCATTGGCAGAAGGCAATCGGCCGAGCGCTTTGATACAAAATGGCGCGCATGTGGAACTTATGCTCACCTTGCCCACAGCTCGTCAACTCTTGCAGAGAAGGAGCGTGTGGAACACATTCGCAGCATGCTCAAGGAGAAATACAGCAGGCAAGGCAGTTCGAATCTGTATCATGCCTACCGCAAGATGGCGCACTACTCAAATGCGGTGGATCCACATTCCAAGTGCGTTTATCCTCAACACTTCGCCCACTTCCTGGGAGATCTTGGTGTGTCTGTCACAGCGAAAGAAGCTTGTCAGCTCCTGTCGAAAGATCCAACGGCCGCCAACTTGGCAAAGCCATTTGGTGCTGCAACGCTTTATGCCATGGTTGCTAAAGACCAACCGAAGAAGGTCTCACTGTAGCTCGCACAGAATTGGATATCCGTCTTGAATCTGACTAATCCTGACAGGTTCCGCGGAACAAGCAGCGAAGAGATTTGCGGGTTTGCCAAATTTGCCATGTCCCTTCCAATCAGCACTTGTTGTATTCGCACCAAGATAGACCTTGATTTGGCCCCTTGCCGAAATACGATATTCGTCAATAAATTCAAGAATAATGACAGATTTCGACTTATATTGACTTTGGACTTCCTTGGATTTGAAAAAAGAATAAATTCGTATTCAGATAATAAAATACGACTAAGAGATATGGCTAGGAATTAGATTGAATATTGATTCTTGCTACATTGATTCCTTTCTATTAATATTATTAGAATATAAATTAAATCTTTGATATTTATTAAGAGATATTCATTAATATTTCTTCATAATATTTAATATAATTGATGATATTTTTCTATATATTTTGAGATATTTATATTCTTCGAAAATTTACTCATATTATTTTATTTAGATTTCATTTTATATCGATATTTATATTTTTATTATTCAATTATATTATTCGATTTAATTATTTCTTAAAGAATATCATATATAAATAATTTTATTCTCATAGAATAGATATGATAGTTGCTAATTCGGTTCCCAAGATTATTTATTAAGATAATAGAAGAGAAGATATTCGTGGA